ACGGAACGTCGCTGTTCGGACACCCGCTGCTGTTCAACGTGCCGCGCAGCAGCTGCAGCCAGGAGGAGCTCTACCAGCTGTTTCTGCTGAGGCTGGCGTGAGTAGGACACCGGATCAGAGCCAGGACTCGGGTCCGATCTACCCCGTCTAGATGATGTTGATTGAGTCGAGACGTTTTACTGATGTTGTGTCTGTAGGCGCTACGTGCGACCTCCTGACCCCTCTGAGGAACTGGAGGAGGAGGAGGAGGAGCTGTATAAGACTCAGACCAATGGCGTCAGTGACGGTATGACATCATGCTTCATCTAGAGTTGTTCGTCTGATGGTTGCTGCTCCTGAAACCTGATGAATGTTTTGTGAATCAAAGATGAAACAAAGTTTTTGAACTTTTCTCTGATTAAACCAAAAAGAACAAAACCTGTAACTTAAACATTCTTCCATCGACGTTTAATCGAACTCTGCTGCGTGTTCTGGGTTCTGCTTTGGTCTCAGACGAGCAGGACCATGTGGGGACAGCAGGACCGTCTCTGCCAGAACCCCGCTGCAGTGACTTGTCTCCAAACAGCCAATCGGAGGGCTCCGCACCAACCCAGCCACACGCCGGCACCAACGCTCAGACGTCTCCGGACCGGCCAAACGGCTCTCCGAACCAGACGGAGCCCATCACCAGCAGCCCTGATGACAGCGGGGACATGGGAACCAGCAGAGACGAGAGAGGCAGTGTGGACATGGTAACCAATAGGGACATTGAGACCAGCAGCAACAAAGGGACCAATGGGGACAATTGTATCAGTAGAGACATGGGTGCCAGCGAAGACACGGGGACTAGCGGAGACATGGGGACTAGCAGAGACATGGGGACCAGTGGAGACACGGGGACTAGCAGAGACATGGGGACCAGTGGAGACATGGGGACTAGCGGAGACATGGGGACTAGCGGAGACATGGGGACTAGCAGAGACATGGGGACCAGTGGAGACACGGGGACTAGCGGAGACATGGGGACTAGCAGAGACATGGGGACTAGCGGAGACATGGGGACTAGCGGAGACATGGGGACTAGCAGAGACATGGGGACCAGTGGAGATGGAGACATGGGGACTAGCAGAGACATGGGGACTAGCGGAGACATGGGGACTAGCAGAGACATGGGGACCAGTGGAGACATGGGGACTAGCAGAGACATGGGGACTAGTGGAGACACGGGGACCAGTGGAGACACGGGGACTAGCGGAGACATGGGGACTAGCAGAGACATGGGGACCAGTGGAGACATGGGGACTAGCAGAGACATGGGGACTAGCGGAGACAAGGGGACTAGCAGAGACATGGGGACCAGTGGAGACACGGGGACTAGCGGAGACATGGGGACTAGCAGAGACATGGGGACCAGTGGAGACATGGAGACTAGCAGAGACATGGGGACTAGCGGAGACATGGGGACCAGTGGAGATGGAGACATGGGGACTAGCAGAGACATGGGGACTAGCGGAGACATGGGGACTAGCAGAGACATGGGGACCAGTGGAGACATGGGGACTAGCGGAGACATGGGGACCAGTGGAGATGGAGACATGGGGACTAGCAGAGACATGGGGACTAGCGGAGACATGGGGACTAGCAGAGACATGGGGACCAGTGGAGACATGGGGACCAGTGGAGACATGGGGACTAGCGAAGGCATGGGGACCAGTGGAGATGGAGACATGGGGATCAGCGGGGACATGGGGACCAGTGGAGACATGGGGGCTAACATGAACATGGGGATTAGCAGGGACATGGGGGCCAGCGGAGACATGGGGGCTAACATGAACATGGGGATTAGCAGGGACATGGGGACCAGTGGAGACATGGGGGCTAACATGAACATGGGGATTAGCAGGGACATGGGGGCCAGCGGAGACATGGGGGCCAGTGGAGACATGGGGGCCAGCGGAGACATGGGGACCAGTGGAGATGGAGACATGGGGACCAGTGGGGACATGGGGACCAGTGGAGACATGGGGACCAGCGGGGACATGGGGACTAGCACTAACACCACTTTGGAAGCACTGACGGGGAAACCACAGCAACCTTGTGACACCACAGAAGAAGAAAATGAGGAACAGAAGCAGGAAGAGGCACGTTCACCAAGTCCTCTTGCGAATGAGCTCCCAGCAAAGAAGAAGACATGTCGCAAGAAGAGGCGGAGCCTGTTCACCATCCAGGCAGTCAACTCCAATGGGACGACAGAGAGGGGGACGGGAGAAGGAGGCAGCGCCGTGTCCTTCAGCTGTAAGTCCAAACAGAACCAGACCTTTTCCTTCGACTTGAACCAGTCCAAGTACCGCTGGACTGGTTCTGATCTCTTCTACTGACACCATGTTTGTTTTTGTTTTACACATCTTGTTAACTAGAAGGCAGGTCACTGGTTAGATAGGAGGCGGGGCCACTGGTTAGATAGGAGGCGGGGTCACTGGTTAGATAGGAGGCGGGGTCACTGGTTAGATAGGAGGCGGGGTCACTGGTTAGATAGGAGGCGGGGCCACTGGTTAGATAGGAGGCGGGCCAATCATTAGATAGGAGGCGGGGTCACTGGTTAGATAGGTGGGACCAATGGTTAGCGAGGAGGCGGGGCCACTGGTTAGATAGGAGGCGGGGTCACTGGTTAGATAGGTGGGACCAATGGTTAGCGAGGAGGCGGGGCCACTGGTAAGATAGGAGGCAGGGTCACTGGTTAGATAGGAGGCGGGGTCACTGGTTAGCGAGGAGGCGGGGTCGCTGGTTAGCGAGGAGGCGGGGCCGCTGGTTAGATAGGAGGCGGGGTCGCTGGTTAGATAGGTGGGACCAATGGTTAGCGAGGAGGCGGGGCCGCTGGTTAGATAGGTGGGACCACTGGTTAGATAGGAGGCGGGGCCACTGGTTAGCGAGGAGGTGGGGCCAATCGTTAGATTGGGGTGGGACCAATGGCTAGAAAGGGGGCGGAGCCACTGGTTAGACAGGGGGTGGAGTAACTGTTAATTAGGAGGCAGGTCACCAACTATTGCTTGAGCCTTTTCTCTTGTCTGACAACAAGTCACCAACTCCACCATGCCAGGTACATCTAACTGGAGCTTTAGCGTTCCTTCTGGAACTTCCCAGTTATTCCTGCAGGTTGATTCTGTTCTGTGTGACCCGGTTCTGCAGCTCAGCCGTATGTGGCAATCGACTGGGACCCCGATATGAAGAAGAGGTTCTACAATGAAAACGAGGCCGAGGTCAGTGAGAAGGCGGAGCTTTAAGCACACGGCCGCCGCCTCTATAACAGCTGCGTCTGCTCTTCCTTCTGCTCGTTCAGCGCTACGTGAAGCACGGCAGCATGGAGGTTCCTCAGCAGCAGACCACCGTTCAGCTGCAGGAGTGCATCGACCTCTTCACCACCGTGGAAACGCTGGAGGAGGAGAACCCATGGTAACCCTCCATCATCTGTCCTGGGACTAAACTCAGAACCGCTCGATGTTTGGTTCTGACCCGAAACGTGTTTTAGCTTCTGTAGCCTGATGGTTTCTGATGGTCGACTGGCTGAAAATCAGAGATTGTGTGTGTGTGTGTGTGTGTGTAGGTACTGTCCGGTGTGTAAGAAGCATCAGCTGGCCACTAAGAAGTTAGATCTCTGGTCTCTGCCTGAGGTTCTAATCATCCACCTCAAGAGGTTCTCCTACACCAAGTTCACCAGAGAGAAATTGGAAACCATTGTGGACTTTCCCCTCAGGTACACACACACACACACACACACACACGCCTGGGTCGGACTCTTCTCCGCTACAAACGAACCCGTTTGAACCTCGTCTGTCTGCGGTCTGAAGCCAGAGCTTCAGCTGTTGGTCACAAACTGAGCAGGGTTCTCCAGAGTTCCTCGGGTTCTTTCTGTCCTCAGTTTGATGGAACTTTAACAAACCCATCCTCTCGGAGTTTTTGTGGGCGTCTAGAACCAGTCTGGGACCTTCTCTGCTTAGTTTGGAGACCAGATTGAGAATAAAACGCGACATAATTGAGAAAATTTGTGACCAAGTTACAACAGAAACAGTAGAACATGTGACCTGCTGCGTGACGGGCCTCAGCCCAGTTAGGTCCTTGGTCTGCAGCTCGTTGGGATCCAGAACCTGAAGTTCTGGAACTGAGTGTGAGGTTATGAACCCGGGCGTGATCCAGGATGAAACATCTGAGTCTGTTTCAGAGATCTGGACTTCTCACGCTTCCTCCTGAGGAGACATCTGTCCACCGAGGAGCCTCCGAGTTGCTACGACCTCATCGCGGTGTCCAATCACTACGGAGGACTCAGAGACGGACACTGTAAGTCCCACCCACTTCACTTGGTGACTGGTCACATGACCCCGTACTGCCACTGACCCGCTTGTTCCTGCAGACACCAGCTACGCCCAGAACAAGGACAACGGGCAGTGGTATTACTTTGATGACAGCAAGGTGACGTACGCCTCTGAGGAGCAGATTGTGGTCAGTAACACACACACACACACACACACACACACACACACACACACGCGGATCGTTGTCACGGACGTGCACCATCAGAAATCCTCATGGGCTCCAGAACTTGTTGCTTCCGAACCCCGGCGGGATTCTGGGTAATCTTCTGTCCCGTTTCCTGCAGACGAACGCCGCCTACGTCCTGTTTTACCACCGACAAGACAAAATCAGGAAACCCAGTCTTCCCACCCCCAAGGCAAACTCCACCTCCTCTACCACCTTCAACAATGACATCACTTCCTGTAAGGATGAAGAAGCAGGACCGGGTACCTCCTCCGTCACCATGGAAACGGATTGAACGTTCAGGTTTTGGCCTGCGTCTCCTCTTTGTTCTGACTGGGTTTCGAACTCGTAACGGCGGGTCTGGTCCTCTCAGGTAGTTTGATTTAAACTGAAACCCGTCCGGATTTCTGCTCCGGGAAGGAAAACGACCCGGAAGTTTCACAGTTTAGGTTAAAAACTGATAATTTATTTTTATCATTTAAGTTTCTAAAGCTGCAGATTTTATGTTGAAATAATTACCCACAGGAAGCCCCGCCCACCGAACAGCAGCCAGGGCTCTGATTGGTTAAAACCGAACCAGTCAGTTCGTGTTTTGTGTGATTCTGATTTTTATGGTGAGCAAAACTGTCAGGGATTAAGAATCTGTTTGTATATTTTGGTTCTGATATTTATTAGTAATGGAACCAGCGGATTATCATATTTATAGGTGGTGGTTCCACTCAGGAGGGGGGAGGGGCTCCGGATCGCTGTACAGTATTTTTTTATTGTAAGAGTAATATTCCTGGGGGGGGGGGGGGGGGGGGTCTTCCCTGTTGAATATCAGAGGAAATTATTTTATTGTACTTTCAAACTTTTGATATAAATTAAAGGATTATTACCACCACGAGGGGGCGCTGTGTGTTGTGTTGTGTGATGGGCAGAACCAAAACCAGGGTTCTGGATCAGCCGGTCCGTCCCAAAGCAGCTCTGAGGGTTTTAGATTTTATTAAAGCAGAACCAGAAAAATCAGCTCAAGTCCAAAAAACAACCCCGGGTCTGGAAACGTGCCGATCCAGAACCAGAGCACGGACCGGATCAAGTCCACTTTATGACTTAATATAACTACTGATCATAAATCTGAAGAGGTTTAATTTAACGGCTGATTTTGGCCTTCAGGTTAGTCAGAACTGGTCCAGAACCTCCCGCCGGGCCTTGGTGGACCCACGTTTCAGCTGGAGGACTCAAAGTTCAGGTCTCTGGACATCAGGTCCTCCTCCACGTTCTCCAGAGCCCACTTGTGATTAACGACTTCCAGGGCCTCCCACTCGCTCTAACACACACACACACACACACACACACACACACACACACACACACACACACACACACACACACACACACACACATTAATCTCTGATTTTCAAACTAAAACTGATTAAAAGCGATTTTCTGTTCCACCTTAAAAGCCTTGTTGGGGTCGGGGGGCATCGCCATGGCAGCGCCGCTCATCTGGTCCTGCATGACTCGTGACTGGTCAGCAGCTGCAACAGAACCACCGGGTCGACCGTTTGTTAGAAAAGTTCTGGGGACTGACCCGCTGCAGCTGGAACTCACCGTTGTCCTGACCCAGGATCAGGCCGTACATGCTCCGGAGTCCAAACACGTTCAGGAAGTACCAGGATGCTGAGCTCACCCTGCAGACAGGAGCCAGAACCAGAATCAGACGGGTTGTTCTGAGGAGGAGTTTACTTCCCGTGGTGTTCTGGGTCTGAGGACCAAAACAGATCAACTCTAAACATCTCAGTTTAAGGAGACCACATCCAGATGTTTTACCAGGAAGCATCCAGAGACAGCAGCTCGATTCCTCTCTGCAGCATCGGCTTGAATCTCAGAGTGAGCGGGAACGGGACCTTCGCTGCGGAGTGACAACGACGTACTTTAAACAGGTTTCTGTCATGATATGTTCAATTCTGGGTTAGGGTTAGTCGTAATTCCTGATTAAACCTCATTAATCCCAGACGTAAACAAGATGGCTGCAGATCTGAAGACACGTCCAATCAGGGATGTCCTTTATTTTCTCAGAAGCTGCAGAGATGTCATTCAGCTCTTCTAAACAAGTATCCTGTTGCTATGGTTACAAAATGTTAAAGAGTAAAATCCTATGGCTTTGATCTGAGAGACGTAACGGCTACGCTGGTGCGTTCACAGACCCTGGGACGGTCCGATGTTAGAGCTCACCTGTCTCAGGTAACATAAACGTTTACAGAAACTCACTGATGACAAATCCAGAGAAGACCCAGTTAATCCATCCACCAACCAGAATCATGGGCAGCACGTTGGTCAGGTTCCCCTTCATCATGTCCATCACCATGCTCGGGTCTGAAACAAACAGCACCAGGCTCAAATGCTGCTTTTATTGTGAAATGTTCCACAAAGGACTTCCTGTAACTCTAAGCTGACAGCAGAACCTTCACAGGCCCGTCAGCACCTGTCATCGGGTTCTTCGGGACCACCTTCCTCTTGACCTTCTTGAAGAAGCCGGCTTCTGCGTTGTTGAAATAATGTTTCCTCATGTTGAACGACTGAAACGGGAAACTTCAGGGTTTGAATTTGAAAACTTTATTACCAAACTGCAAAGGAACACTGACTTTTACTGTTCAGAGAATAAAACGGGGGTTTTCTGTTCATAAATCTTATTTCATGTGACTGTTGTTGCTTTTATTAGCTAATAAATAATTTAATAAAGTTAGAACTTTCTATTGAAATTAATCAGGAGTCAAGATTTCAAGTTTTTTAAAACTTAAAAACATGTTTACATCAGATGTTCATGGTTTATTAGTTTGTTTTTAGCATCAGAAGTAGAAGTGGATTTTCTGGTTTATTTGTAGTTTTTGGGTTCTGAGCAGAACAGAACCGGATTTCTAACCACTAGATGGCGCTACGCCTTTACCTGCCGGGGGAGGAACTTCCCGTTCTCTCGGAGGACGCGGCTGCGCAGGAGCACCTGGCTGAACAGGGACAGAAAACCCATCAACACTCGGTGTTCGCTACGGCCCTGGTGCCAGGTACAAACCTCACATAGATCAGATTCGGTTTTAGGCTCCAGAAACATCAAATCTCAGTTTTTACGGGTCAGTTACCATGGTAACTTCTGGGTCGACCCACCTAAGACCTGCTCCAGGTGGACTCACCTGTCGGAGACCTGCTCCAGCGCCACCTTCTTGTCGCTGTGGAGCAGCTGGGTGACGTAGTGACGAAGGACACCAACAAAAAAGGTGATGAAGACGATGGGCAGGACCACCCAGACCCGGATGCTGGAGTCCAGGAGGAGCTCCGGATCGGCCATTCCCACTCAGACCCAAACAGGAAGTCTGGGGAACAGGTTCGTGTTGATTTGGTTTCTGACACATAAACAAAAAGGTTTTGTCCTGGAGGACCTGAAGCCCGATTTAACGAACCGGGCGCACTGAACCAGGATCAGTAGCAGGTCTCATGAAGGGGTTAGGCGGTTCCGGTTTATTGTGCACCTGGACAGGTGAGACGCACTAAATGAATTTAAAACTTTCAAAACAAGAACGGAATGTTTTTTATTCCCTTTGAAAAAAAAACGATTAAATTGTGGTTTTAAAACTAATGCTAGCCGACATCTCTTATGGAGCTAAACTGGAATTAAATAAACAATGACTAATAAGGGTTGAGATTTCAAAATAAAGGTTAGTAAATATATTTCTGAAGTGTTTTACACTTATTATGTTACATAAATTCAGTTATTCTGACGCTTTTTTATTATTAATAGTATTTTCTTAATTTTTAATAAGCAGAGTTTGTAACTATTGTGAAAACTGCAATCCTACCAGAAGCAGCTTCAGCTGAAAACAAGAATCCCAGAAAACTACAAACTCGTTCTTGTTGAATAAAAGTTCTCAAAAACAAACTCAGCTTTTAAAAACAGGCACGTGTGTTATCTTTCAGTTTGTTTGTACAAATAAATACAAAACTAAAACTTAGCTAAAGAAAGAGTTAAGCTGTTAATTTGGGCTTCAATCGGAACCTGCAAACGTGAATCTAAACTTTGGTCTGAAGCACTAAAACCTGCTGTTCCTGTCCGCGAACTCGCTGGTTTTCACCGTAAAATCTGCGTTTTACCACTCTGATGTTTTTAAAACGCTCTTTTTAAAAGATTTAAACAAAACTTACCACATTTACGAACTTTTACAAACAAGGACGTTCAGGTGCCTCCATCAAATGGGCCGTTCCGGTTTAACCGGAAACGGAAACAACGCTGAATTCATTTAATGTCGATGGATTTAAATCATTAGTCAAGAAAAAAAAACATTTTGTGTGTTAAATTTTTTTTTAATTATATATATTTTGTTGTCCAATCTTTTTTTATTACAAGAAGCCAAATAAAATAAAAATAATTTTAATAATTTTAAAATTTTGACTAAAACTGTCATTTATGTGCCAGACATTATCGAGTGTGAAGAAATAAAACAAAGAAAATCTCACTCCCAGATTTCTGACGAGCTTGCTGGAAAAGCTGGGTCCATGCCGGTCCATGCTCATGAGTAATACTCTGATTATTACAGAAACTCTGATCAACTGTTTGATTTTAAAGCAAAACACAACAGGACACACCCCTCCATCCACACGAACAGATTTTTATATTTTTAGAGCAATAAATATTTCCACTTTTCATATCTCTGCAGTTTCAAAAACAAAGTACAAGTAATATATATTTATGTACAGAGCTAAAATCTTCCATACAGCATTTTAAAATAATGTTGTCTCTGTTGGACACATATTTGACACTTTACTCGTACAATTTTACAAGGACTATTGCAGTCTGTCTGTTCTCTACATTATAAACAAGAAAGTGATCGTCTGTTAGAAACAAACAGCTCTGGTGTGTCCGTACACAACAACAGGCGGCCTTTACATGGGAACAGAAAAGTCCAAGATTTAGAGCTGATCTGATCCAGATGTGACGCTCCTTTAAAAAAAAGTTTTGTTTTTGTTTGTTTTCCTGCAGCAGATAAAAAAAATCCCTTCTGTTCCCAAAGTAAAGCAGCCACAGAGAACGTACCCGGCGTCGGGCGGAGTAACAACGCGCATCAACCTTTACGTAATGACTTATGTACATTCATGTATATAATACAGCTCATTCAGTGCAGATACTGTAATAAATACTACATGCAAACCCATAGTGGAGAGCAGGCCCGAGCAGAAAAACAAAGAAACTAAAAACCGAATCAAAGCAGGCATTTAACGGGCCAAACCAACATTTCTGCATGTTCTCAGACTGAATCTGACGTATTTATGCTTCCTGCTTCAGCTTCCAGTTGGTTTCTCAATTTGGAAAATAAAGACTTTTGAGCAGAAAACAGGTTTGTTTGTATTTATTAATCTGAACACTAGGCTTGATTAGCTTTAGTAATGGTATAAGAATGGCTATAAAATCAGGATGAGTGACATAATCATCTAGAAAAAAAGATTATTTCTATTCATGTACAAATTAAACCAAACTACAGGAAGAGTCCTTCCTGTTTCTACTGGATTTAGAAGGTTTGGATTCATCCCGGAGCAGCTGATCAGGTGTGTGGGTCACAACCATCTCTTCTAAAGCTGACCTTTAGTCACTTTGACCCTCTGGAGCATCCAGGCGTGTGTTAACCACCACTCCAGGTAAATATCTAGAGTCTCTGCCTCCTTCTCTTATTTAAAATAAAGTCACAAAAACTTGCTTAAAGAAGATTCTGTTTTACAAACAGAACTAGAGTCAGAGCTGGAAGCCCCGCCTACCCACCTGCACCAGTCAGGTGTTTCTAGGCAAGTTTCCGCAGCATCATGAGAACTATGTGGAGCAACAGAAGCCAACGCTGAAGGTGTACATTTGATTTTAGTCAAGAAAGGTTTCATTTATTCCCACGGAGGAGGGCGGGGCTTAACATTTAGGCTGGAACCAACCACTAGGAGGCGTTTGGTTAACTTCAGCTCGGCTCTAAAGACATCAGCTGTGATCTCAGAGAATCGTTCTGGGGAAGATCAAAGGTGAAGTCCATTATTCTACAGGGAGACAGACGTCCTCCTGGGGAGTGGATGTTGACCCTGAGGTCAGAGGTCAACACAGAAACAACCCCCCCAGAGCTCCATGGGAGACACTACAGGCCTGAGCTAGCAGGTTAAAGGTCAACAGCTGAACACAAGCAGGAGCAGAAAGCAACATGGCGGCTCGTCTCAGGTTGATGATGTTTCTGTGTTTACGTCATCATTAATGGACCAGGGACCGCTTTCATGTCCTCGAGCATAAAACCGGAGACCTGATTTATTTCATTCTTGACTTTCAGATGAACGGAAGAAAGTTCTTCTTCAGCCAGATCAGCACAACAGAATCAGAACTAAAGGTGGAGAAGGGTCAGAGAACATTCTTCAAGAACATGCAGAAACTCTGGTGTGGAACGTTTTCAGCTGGATTTATTTAGCAGTGTTCTCCTCCTGAGATGGGCTCCGCCCAGAGAACCTTCTAGAGTTCCTCCCACAGCTCTACTCAGAGAACCGCCTAGAGTTCTGGCCACAGCTCTACCCGGAGCTCCGCCCAGAGAACCTTCTAGAGTTCCTCCCACAGCTCTACTCAGAGAACCGCCTAGAGTTCTGGCCACAGCTCTACCCGGAGCTCCGTCTAGAGTTCTGCCCACAGCTCTACCCAGAGCTCCGCCCAGAGAACCTTCTAGAGTTCCTCCCACAGCTCTACTCAGAGAACCGCCTAGAGTTCTGGCCACAGCTCTACCCGGAGCTCCGCCCAGAGAACCTTCTAGAGTTCCTCCCACAGCTCTACTCAGAGAACCGTCTAGAGTTCTGGCCACAGCTCTACCCGGAGCTCCGTCTAGAGTTCTGCCCACAGCTCTACCCAGAGCTCCGCCCAGAGAACCTTCTAGAGTTCCTCCCACAGCTCTACTCAGAGAACCGCCTAGAGTTCTGGCCACAGCTCTACCCGGAGCTCCGCCCAGAGAACCTTCTAGAGTTCCTCCCACAGCTCTACTCAGAGAACCGTCTAGAGTTCTGGCCACAGCTCTACCCGGAGCTCCGTCTAGAGTTCTGCCCACAGCTCTACCCAGAGCTCCGCCCAGAGAACCTTCTAGAGTTCCTCCCACAGCTCTACTCAGAGAACCGTCTAGAGTTCTGCCCACAGCTCTACCCAGAGCTCCGCCTAGAGTTCCACCCATAGCTCTACCTGGAGCTCCGCCTACAGTTCCGCCCACAGCTCTACCCGGAGCTCCGCCCAGGGATCTGTGCACCAGTGGGATGTTGGGATCGTTGGGCTGTAGATACGTGGTGCCGACCCAACGACCCAGAACTCCAAACAGCTCAGCAGGAAGAGCCGACCTGGGAGCTGCTTGGTTCTGATGAGTCCAGTCTGAGACGGGATCATCAGAACCAGTTGGTCAGAGATAAAAGACGATTGCAAACATATTAAAAGTTTTTCAAAAATTTGTGTTTTTATAAGATGCCCAAATAAATTTTAATAAAATAAAATAAACTCGCATTTGAAGCACAGAACAAACTCAAAAATGCTAAAAATACAAAACAGCCCAAGGAGTACGTTATGTTAGTAGAAGCACAACATCACTGATATCAGAATGTCGCCCTGAAAAGTCTCCGGGTTCTTCAGACTGAAGACAGCAGGGACCCGAGGATGGCTTCCAGCAGGGACTCGGGTCACCAGAGTCCACTTCCTGCTGAGGAACGCCTGAAGAACCCGGAGAACGCTTGTTTTTCAGAGCATTCGTTTGGTTAATTCAAGCGATCCCAAAGGTGGGCGACAGCTCGATGCCGCTGGCCCGATACAACAGAACACGCTGTACAGGTTCTATCTACAGGTGGTGCATTCAGGTGATCCCTGGAAAGCTAAAACATCTGCATTCACCATCTCCATCAACCAGGAAAATGCTGGTAGGTTTTCCAAGAAGCTGAGCTTGATCTGAAATCAGGAAATGTTTGGGTGGAGGTGGAAGAACGTTCCTCCAGCTGCTGAGGGTTCCGACATCCGCTCATCGTCATCAAAACAAACACTGAAAAACGTCACATGGTTTTAAATGCAGAGTGCAAAAATGGTCCGACGTCGTCCAGTCCTGTGATGTTCTCGAGTCTGAGTTCTGTTTGAGTCTCTGTTGGATTGTCCTCCATTAAAAATACACAACAATGGCTTCATGTTTGTTTTTGTGAGACGGCGGACAGCCGATCCGTCTTTAATCTGTGAAGAATCTTATTTTTAGGATTATTTTCTACCATCCCGTGTCTGAAGGCACCGTGTTCTCCATCAGGTCTGATTCCATCCCTCTCCTCCAACAGAAACCAGTCCAGACTGGGTGGGAACGTTGAAGCGTTCTGTTTTTCTACAGTTTCACTGATTTTTATCAGATCATTTAAAATGTTGATGTTAAAAATCCGAACTCCTGAATCAGCATAAACCTTTAAATCCAATCCAGCTATTAAAGGAATAATTAGAGTTAAATCTTAATACGTAGTTAAAATTAAACATGTACAATACAACCTAAATACACAGAGAAAATGTTTGAAATCAAACTTAAATATACATAAAGGCAAATTTAAATATTTAGAATGAAGTAAAAAATGTATAAAAGAACAAAAGTTCAGAATCAATCTAAAAACTTTAAATTTAAGAGCAAGTCACCCCAAAATAAAGGTTTTTCGCTGATAAACTAGATAAATGCGTGTCTAATCGTGCCGTAGACATGTGTACTTAATAATTTGCCACTTTAGTGCATCTTAGTTAAAATTTACATATTCAGCCTGAAACTTCAGCGTTGCGCCGTCGTCGGGTAAAAACTCAGCACTGCATTTGAATTTAAATCTGTCACCGCTATTGGCTAAGAGGAACACTATGATGTTAGCTGATACATTATGATGTCACAATGCTGTCATGAGCCTGTTTGTTAATGGCTCCGCCCTCTCGGTCTGCCAGGTTTCTTGTAGGGGGTGACTTGCTCTTTAAGGAGATGCAGGTAAATGAGATTTAAGAACGTAGATGATTTATCTCCCTGCAGGGAGAGCGTGACCTTAAACGAGAGATCTGCCTTTCTTTGTGAGAGATAAATATTTAGTTTTTAGTATTTAGTTAAACATTTAGATTCAAGTTTGATGAGATTTTTATTGTGATTTGTGTTTAACCAGAACAAGTTGAGTTAAATTGACTTTTTAAGTAGATTTCCCACCCAGTTCCATTAATGCTGCAGTCGAGAAACATACGGGACATTACACTGTAAGAAAAAGATGGTTTCATATAACTGGAAATAAAAGAATAATGACTGGTTTTAGGTTTTGCAACTTCGTTCTTATCTGTAAAGGAAAGACTCCAAAGTTTCTAAAGTTTGGCACCGTTCAGCTTAAGCGATGTCACACATCACAGAGCATAAAACACAGATAATAATAATTATTGTTGTTATTTATGCTGAGTCAGGCCAACACTTTCATATAAACTGGGAGGTGAGATTTATAGTATACAACAGTATAGCGCCCCCTGCTGCAACCCTGTAGTCCGCACACTAAAGGCTTTTTTGCAAAACAAAACGGTAAAAACATACCTGTAGTTTTCATTAAGATGGCTTTTTTAAAAGTCCTATCGTTCACACAGAGTAGAGCTCCCTCTGCAGACTGAATAGTAACCATAGACACACGATAATCGTTAGCTATTGCACAGGACACGCATGCCGGTCTAAAACACAGAAACAACACCTTACTGCTGCTAATCGCTTCTGTTTCCGCCTCATGGCTTAGAAATGCGTCCAAATCCAAACCGGGAGCAGTTTGTGCCAAAAGTAAGAGGAGGACGGATTTTTGGGCTGAACTAGGCGGGCTCCTCCTGCTCCCTGAAAACGAGAAACCTCCCATTAGCACGTTGGCCTTTAGCACTGACCCTCACGTTACATTCTCAGGCACTGTTTCCTTCACGGCTGGTCCCCGAACCATTTGTCCACCACAGCAACACACAAATAAAACCTACGCGGAGCAGGACGCGGACACGTGTCCCGCTGAGCTCCGGCTCGCCACTAGGGGGCACTACCAAGGGAAGATGAGGACTGGAACAACAATACAACAGAACTAAGAGGGAGTTTTTCTTCGCCTTCTTGCGACTGGAAGGCTTTTGCTCGCGGATTTCACGACTCGGCCAACAAAGTCTTTCTACCTGCGAGGGAAGTCGATGTGAAAGTAACACAGGCTGAGGAGTTTCCTCTTTCCCGCCCTTAATGCTCTCCTCCTCATCAGTTGGCTGTTTGAATAAACCTGCATTTGCCCTCCCCCTCTTCTCCTCCTCTTCCCCCTCATGCTCTGTCTCACTACCGCCCCCTGGCGACTCACGGAGGGGTCGTTCCCCAATGATCCCGACGTCTGTCTCCTCAAACGACCGTGCTGATCCGGCTGACGGGCTTCGATTTGGGACCGCCTCCCGGGGGGAGCGGGGAGAGCGGGGCGGTGGACGGGGGAGGTAAGGGGGAGTGTGGAGGGGGAGGCGGGATGGACGATAGTGGAGGATATTGGGGTGTGTAAGGTTGGGGAGGTGTCTGCGACACGAGACGGGCTGAGGGGGTCTGAGGCGGTGGGGTGGAGAAGGTGAAGTGGGTGGAGGCGTTTGCTGATGGCGAGGGGCTGAGTGGGGAGTGTGAGTGCACGGCGTGGTTGTGAGAGTGTGTGTGAGCGTGGGGGTGGGGCTGGGAGTGCGAGATGGTCAGTGGGAGTTTGGCGCCTCCACCCGGCCGCCCCGGATGGTAGAGTCCGTGTGGGGTGGTCGGGGTGACCGGGGAGTGTGGGGACAGTGGTGGGGGCGTGGTAAAGCCGGGGGCCATGTTGTAACGTGGGTGCTGGGCGGGGCCTTGCTGCAATCTCTGATGCTGCTGGATATGAGAGAGAGCGCAGCCGGACGGGCCTTGCCGTTGGGGTGCGGAGAAGCGGTGCGACAGAACGTGGTGCTGCGGGACGCTCTGCATGTGGTAACGGTGATGGTGGTGGTAGGGTGGAGGTGGTGTCTGCTGCTGCTGGTGCCCAGTAACACTGACTCCGCCTCCTCCACTGTTGACGTGGCAGTACTGGGCATGTAAAGCCTGGAGCTTGGACGGCCCCCCGACCGTAACGCCTCCCCCTCCAACTCCGCCCGAGTCGGAGGGACCGAGGTTGGGCAATGGGGAGGGGCATGGGGAAGGGGAGGATGGGAGGGGGATGGGAGGTGCGGGGGCGGGGTAGTGGGGGGGTGATGATATCATCAGGGGACTCGGTGGACCCTGAGGAGGGGGAGACATCATCGTCAGAGGACCAGGAACCTTGCCTCTTCTGCTGCCGAAGAAATTCCCCATTCGGCCTCCTGGCATCGGGCCAACCCCACCCACTATCCCTCCTCCGGCCCCAGCCCCGACCCCGCTCGCGAGAGGAGATGTGGTGACCCCTCCCTGGTTGTGACAGAGCCCCGGCCCACCCCCCACCCCTGTACCGGGGCTCTGAGTAGGGCGGTGTGGCCGATAAGCTGCTGGAGACGAAGGGACCATCATGGGGCTGTAGGACAGGCCTCCCGCCACCAGGGGGCACTGCTGGTGGGGTCGAGGGCTGCTAATAATAGATCCCTGAGAGCAGGAAGCAGAGAGCAGAGAAAACAAAATATTATTCAGTGTTGAACTAAATATTCAATCTCACAAACAGAATCTGTTCCATGTGTTCACGTTTCCTCACAAGTCGCACTAATTCACACCTGAGACCAGTTCCAACAGAACAGAAACAGAACGCGGTCATGAACAGTACCGGGCATCGCCGGGTCTAATAAACCCAGTTTTCCATCAGAGCCGAGTGAAACCGTGCAGATAGAGAAAGTAGAAGAAATGGAAACAGATTTTATGTTTAACTCGTTTTTTTTTTTTTCATTTAACGAAAATCTGTAAAACAATAAAGATGTTTTTCTTTCTGAGTCCTGATTCCTTTGGTTTGAGTTAGAAATGTGAAAAACGACTGGATGTTCTTGTTGAATGTCGAAATCTAAAATCCAGTTTCACATAAAAGAAGAAAATCTGATGAGATTATTTTAGCCTCGGCTGAAAAGTTAAAGGTAAAAGTGCCGTTGGGACCAAAAAGGAACAAGATGAGTCATTTATACGGCAACCAAACATGCTGACAATGATCTTTAGACTATTATGATTGGATGGTTACAACTCAGTCATAAACCATCCAATCAGAAGCCTTCGGATGGTTTCTAAAGTCACGGGCAGGAGCGTCACATCCACGCAGCTCGACAAAGACACACAAAACAACAAAATCAACCCCCACCGACAGTTTCCACGCAGACCAATCAGACTCAAGCGTGCAGTGTTAGCGTGCAGGGAGGTCAGGCATGCTTTTAGCCCCGCCCCCAAACTTACTTCAATGGTACTGTCCAATGAGCCCACACTGTTCCTACGACCTCGCTTCCCTGTCGTCCAATCAGAACGAAGCAGTTAACATTTGTTTACCAGGTGGTTTGTGCTTTTCTGTTTGTGCAGAAATATGATAAATAAATAAATAAAACAAGGTAAACACTTTTTTCAGGAATCTTCATTATTGGTCCTTTCATCTTCAGACAGAACAAGCTAACTTTCCTTCTGCTCCGAGCCGTTGTGCTAAGCTAGGCTAAGCTAATCTCAACCTGACCTTATGTTTGTGACCAAATTTCGCATCCAGATGCCAAAACTTTTCTATAATAATCCTTTTTAGTTGTTTTGGATAGAAAATTTACCAAATGTCCTACAATAACGTCGAAAGAAACTAACCTGATCCTCATGCAACTGATTTAAAAACGCCCTAATAACATTTCACGCCAACACCTAGTAATATTTTTAATATTCTGACGTCTATATTTAAACTAAAAGCACTAAAATATGAACCATACGACGTCATTACTTTATACCATAACTCTGGTTGCATATTTCTGCAATTTTGTTACCAATCTACAAAATAGGTGAGTGAATGAAAGCAGGAAGCGTGTGCTGGGCGGGTTACACATGATGATGATTGTATTACTGACACATCATCAGTTACCTGCTAATATTGTTAGTTATGCATGAATCACAACCTTCATGATGCAGTTCTGATTCCTGACCACCGGGTGGCGACACCTGACTAATGCAGAAGCTTTTCCTGTTTCAGCTTTCATGACTGATCAGTTGCGTAAGAGCACAGATGTTCATCTGAGTCGTATAAAAATGGATCCTCAGGAAGCGAATTTCTGCGTCACCTCTGTGCAAAAGTCCTAATCCAGCCCTCGACGCAGAATCTCCGAATCTGTCTGGAAACTTCTCACAAACCAGACTAATGTGTTAAAGACTGAGCTGAAACACAAACTGAAACTGCAAAAAAAAAAAAAAAGAGCCAAGGTCTAAAGAGAAACGGTAAAAACCGTCAGAAGATCTGGAAAAATGATCCAGATCACTTCACCGGACTACAGGAAGGTGAGACAGCTGGGAGGGAGACAGCTCAGAGTCCTTACCCGTCTCTGAGAGATCCCGGAGCGAGGAGCTGAGCGCCGTGCGTTTGAGTCCATCCACTGAGGCATACGTGTCATCAAGGCTCGGCCTACCCAGGATGCCGTTCACCACCTCGCCCTTCACGGCCCCTCCTCCAGGGCCGGCTCCGCCCCCTGGCGCCCCCATGCCTCCTGACCCTGCTAGGATACCTGGACGCATCCCACCTTTCTGCTTCTCGAGTTCGGCTGCAGGCAGAACCAGAGCAGGGAAGCGATCAGTCCGATGACTGGTTCAGACGGGTATCTTCATGACCCTAACCGTTGCTGTTGCCACGGTAACACTCACACTCCACCCTGTACTTCTCCATCTCCTGGACCTCAGCGATGCTCTCCCGGAGGTCAGAGGTGAATCGCGCTCGGTCCTGCTGGCTCGGAGCTGTGAAGACGATCAGAACCTTCCTCTCCCCTCCTGGATTCGCCGACGTCAAACGGATACCGTGAGGGTAATCTGAGCGAGAAACACAAACATCTGTCACAACCGTCTCTCTGATAAAGTACACACACACACACACACACACACACACCGGTGACGCGCCGTGTGTGCTTTTCTTCCTGCAGTGAGACAAACTCTCCTCACGCCGCCCAGACTCCGCTCTTTAAAGCCCCTTACGTCCACCGCGCCGACGCATTTTAACGAGCTTCCTCCGCGACGCGTTTTTTGACGCAGAAATGAAAGCTTCCATCATGGAGTAAACGTTCGGCAGACGTGTTTGTTTACATTTTTGCAGCTGCACGCCTGAGCAGTGTGAGGGAAGGGGGACGCCTGGATGCCGCTCAGGCTCTCTGCGGGCTGCAGAGTAGACAGACAGCCGGTGTGATCGCGTCTGAAAGACCATCAGAATCTGCAGATGGCGTTTCTTCAGAGATCGGCCGCAGATTCTTCTTCCGGTCGGCAGCCTGGGAATCGAAATTAGGAAACGAAATAAAACAATTTGAACAATTCTGGGAAAAACTGACAGTTAATCCCAGTTCCAATCGATGCTCGATGCCCGACCTGTGGCTCATAAGGGTCACCATGGAGACCAGACTCAGACCTGATGCGAACGGATGGAACACGAGGAACGTCTGAAACAGATTTCCTAGAAGATAAAACCTGATGGGCCTAAAGAATAAAGAGCTGAGTGAGCAGCTGGGACAGGTGGACACCCAGGTGGACAACCAGGTGGACACCCAGGTGGACAACCAGGTGGACACCCAGGTGGACAACCAGGTGGACACCCAGGTGGACAACCAGGTGGACAACCAGGTGGACACCCAGGTGGACAACCAGGTGGACAACCAGGTGGACACCCAGGTGGACAACCAGGTGGACACCCAGGTGGACACCCAGGTGGACACCCAGGTGGACACCCAGGTGGACAACCAGGTGGACACCCAGGTGGACAACCAAGAGGACAAGCAGAGAGACAGCTATGCTTACAGGTGTTTTGGAAGGTGTGGACCTGCATGTCGAGCAATGGGAATGACTGTCTGAAGCTGTACGTCACGGAAGTCTTCTTCTTCTGGAAGATCTTTGTCACCTGGGGGGGGGGGCAAGAACATCCGTTTTAATCTCATAACCAAGAAAGATAAAACATCTGAAACCTTTGACTTCAAAACATGCAGGATGTAGGAACACACACACGCGCACGCACGCACGCACGCACGCACGCACGCACACACACACACACACACACGCACACACACACACACACACGCACGCACACACACACCATGAGCAGGTCGTTGAACAGGAAGACCTCCCTCTGATGGACGCCGCTCCTCTGAGCTCGGTTTGGATCTGGAACCTCAAACAGCTGACAGCAGCAGACCAGCCGACGATGCGGCAGCGACAGAACCTGGAACACAAACAGCTGTTTACCACTTCCTGTTGCTGACGACGGTCGTAAACCATAACGGTAACGGTCGGTAGGCTATTTCACACGTCGCGCTCAGGCCGGCGGACCCGGGGATCCACCTGAATCTGATGCTGCTGAGTTGAACATTTGACCTTTTCTGCATTAAATGTTCGGTTCTAACCAAACCCGGCGGTCCTGTCACATCAGCCAGCAGCTGTCGGACCGGGCCGCTCAGCTCGACACGGACAGACGTCTTACTGGTTTCTTGCCGACCACCATCCTCTCCACCGCCTGGACCTGGGACACGTGGTCATCGTTGGTCCTCAGCTCCCATTTCTGGATCCGTCCATAGATGGCCACCAGCAGGTCTCGGGGGATGTCCTGCCCATTATCGACACCTGGCAGATACACGGGTCAGAACCAGGCTAATTGGGTTTGTCACTGACAGAAGACTGGCTGGACCGGCTCACCACGCAGGTTCTTGATGAAGTCCTCCAGCTTCATCTTGCGTTCAGGTTTGACGTTGGGGCTGTACATGTCCGTGTTGAGGAGGATGATGGCGAAGGCCAGGATGAAGATTGTGTCTGGGTTCTGGAACTGGCGGATCAGTACCGGGTTGCAGACGCAGTACCTCTGGCTGCAGATGGAGAACCAAAGAGATGACATTTAGGACACATCAGCTGACCAGAACTCTGGGCTGCAGCTGAGTTTCATACCTGAAGGCCTCCACCAGCCGCTCCACCCGCTGAGCTTCTCCCTGAACTTTGATCTGAGCCTGGAACTTTCTCAGAGCTTCGTCCAGGTCCATCCCAGAGAAGTCCATCTCGTCCAGGACACAACTTCCCAGAGAGAAGAACAACTCTTTTAAACGTACAGGTTTAAACTCACTTGTGTCCGACAGGATCTAACTCATCTAGCGTTGGTAAGCTGTGGCGTCCCTCAGGGCTGAGTCTCAGGAACATGGCCAATCTCACAGCTTCTAGGAGACGGTTCCTTTTAAATCCTGACAAATCATTTTGCATCCTTAAATCCCTCCGGTCCTGTTGGGTCGGGAGTGGGTCACGGGGGCTGTGAACCAGTCCAGCTCAGATGAGTTTTGAAGATGTTTCACTTGCCGGGCTTTTCCCTTCTAACTGAAAAGTGCCGAGTAGCGGTTCTAACCGTAGACCCGTCTAGCTGTCAGATGTTTTAGGGATCGGATTAAAAACTGTCCTCAGAACTAGAACCAACCGGGTCAACCGACCCTCCCGACCCACAGAAGAGAGGGCGGAGCCTACGTTAACACAGGTGAAGTATTTTTGCATAAACCTAAAAGAACCGTTCGTTTATGTCTGTTAGGTTAGGATGATGAACATCTTTAAAAGCTGATCTAATAAAACTTTTCTGACCCGCCAGGATTTAAACTCCCCCAAACTTCAGTTTTCTAAAACTAAAATCTCTTTTTGAATTGGAAGCTGCCTTGAACGCCGGAGCAGAGACTCGGCCCGCTGCACTCACTCGAGGACGTCCTTGTTGAACTGCTGCCGGCTGCCCAGGAACTCTCCGATCATCTGCCGGCTCAGACCTTTCCTCTCCAGGATGAACCTGGCGATTCCCACCGGAGTGTCTGACACGAAGCCCTTCTCAATCAGGTACTGGATCCCCTTCTCCGGCTTCCTGCACACCAGCACAAACATGGCCTTTACTTTCATTTGCTGTTTGGCTTCTGCTCTTAAGCTAAAAACGTCCTCAGACATTTCCACTACAGAGCTCCATCTTTTGTGTTCCCAGCTAAGTGAAGAGGAGAGCCTCGTGGTCTGGTACCAGGACTCCTCTCAAACCCACTAAAGCCCTTTTCCACCGGTACCAGCTCTAGCGGTTTGAGAGCTTTTGCATTAAAATCGAGACAGAGCTCTAGTGGGGCAGCATGGTCATGTGATCTGAAATCGACACAAACACAACACAACAATGGCAGATAGGTGGCGATGTGGAACAGTCTGCTGTGTACGGGAGAGCCTGGGTGACTCCGCCCCCTAGCCAATCAGCGACAGTCTACAAGTTTTTACTCTGGCATGGTCGGACGGAACCTCACCAGTTTGTTCTTTAAAAGGGGTGTGCACCTGGCGCCTGTTACTAGTGGAAACGCCTCAGAAAACCTTTAAAAAGTCCGGAGAACTGTTGCAGAAAACGTCCTAAAGCATTAAAGGCAGCAGGTAAGGAACCCAGGAACCGGCGAGGACCGCTTCAGGAGTTTCCGGAGCCCTGTCAACTTACTTGTTGAACAGGTTGAGTCCGATGCGGTACTGCCGCCGCTGCACTACGTCATTATTGAAGGCGGGGGAGTCCCAGCTGTGGCGGCTCTCTCTCTGATACGTCTGCTTTCCCAGCGGGGCTCCTGTGATTGGCTCCCGCAGGCTGTCGCGCGACGAGGACCCGGAGCTGCAGTTGTTGACCGTGGTGTCGTCGTTGGAGTTGGTGGTGGTGGAGTTAACGCTCTCGTTGTCTCCGTCTGAGCAGAGCAGGTGGTGGTGGTGGTGGTGGAGGTGTGGGTGGTGGGCGAGGTGCTGCTGCTGGGCCTCCATGTTCTGAAGCATGGAGGAAGAGGAGGAGGACAGCGGGGAGGGAGTAAGTGGTGGTGGCACCTGTGACAGAGGTGTGAGGGGAGGAACCGGAGAGGGCAGCGGGGACGATGGGGGCTCTGGGTAAGCGTGAGGCAGGTGGTGGTAGTGATGCGGGGCGAAGTGATGCGGGTGCTGCATGTAGGGGCTGCTGGCGTGTCCGTGGTGCATGTGCAGGATGTGTGGCTGGCCGTACTGGGGGTGGTGGTGGAGGATGGTGGGGAGGTGAGGGATGGGTGAGGGGTGTGGGTGAGTGTGGGGGTGCTGGAGGGGGTAAGAGGGGAGTGTCCGGGCTGACGGTATGGGCAGGGGGACGTTAGCCGGGCTACGGGTCTGCCCCTGCGCCATGGCGACCGAGCGGCTGTTGGGTTTGTGTTTGATGGTTCCTTGTGGCGAGTCGGCTTCGCTGCTTCCTTCCCCTCCTCCTCCTCGCTCCTCCTCTCCACTCTCACCCTCTTCCCTTCCCCCTCGCCCCCTTTCTCCTCCCCTGTCCACCCCCGAGGGGTCCTGTTCATACACCAGACGTCCGATTGACCCCCGTTCTGACCTGGAGACACAATTCTGTTCGTTAGCGAGAAAAAAAGTCACCAAAAAAAAAAAAATCATCGAACGCTAAACATCTGCAGGCGTCCTCACCTGTCACTCATGTCCACCGAACTGTCGCTGGGAGGTTCGATGGTCAGGACGGGGAGGTGTCCTCCCCCTCCTCCCCCCGCCCTCCCTCTGTACTCCCCCCGACACTCTGTACAGGGGGTGCTGCTCCTCCGGCTGGCATTGCTGCCTCCCTCCGTCTCTCTGCTGTCCTCCCTCCCCCCTGCTCCTCCTCCTCCCCCCCAGTAGTCTGTGTCTGAGCTGGAGGCAGGGCGGGACAGGGGTGAGGAGGGGAGGCAGCCATCATCCATGTAGAGGGTGACATCACTGAAGGAAGTGGCGGTGCTGTCCTCATGCATGGCTCCTCCCCTGCCTCCTTCCACCCGGCCAGCCACGCGTCGGGAGGCCGTGTTTGTGTCACGCCACCCGCACTGCCGGTAATCATCTTCATCTTCCTCCTCATCTTCCTCCCCCTCTTCCTCCTCCTCTTCCTCATCTCCCTCCTCATCCTCATCCTCCTCGCCTTCTCCCCCAACATCTTGTGAGTCTTCCCGTCCGGACTGGCAGGTGAGGGAGTCGTCCATGGAGTCGGCCAGAGACTTGACCTTTGGGTGATGAGGAACCCGTCAGATATCAGCCTCTATGCAGACGACACCCTGATCTATTTAACTGGGTTTCCTGGTCTTCTGCTGCCATTACTAGGTAAATAAATGGCGCCTACCTGTTTGGAGAAGGAGTCGTCTCCGGTGTCGTCTGAACCCTGTTGTCCCGCTGATCCTGGACCCTGTGGCTGCCGCTCATCAAACGAGTACTGAGCCCAGACAGAGACATTCAGCTGCTGTCAGAACAAAAGCCTCTCAGCTGATCTGGTGTTGGTTTGTGCTGCAGCACCGCATACCTGCATTCTCATGTTGGACAGGATGATGCGGCGGGTCATCCTGCTTTCCGAGGCAGAGCTTCGTAACCTCTCAAACTTTTTGTTCATGCGGTATCGTCTGAAGGCCGTCTGGATTGTCCGGGCGGCCCGCCGAGACACAAACTGCCCCCCGTACTTCCTCTCCAACATCTCCACCTGCCAGGTGGCGTCAGGGCAACCAAAAGAAGAAACATTAGTAAGAAATAAGAACCGGGTGAAGATGCCGACAGAAAAATAACTAAATGTGTTTAAAGACTAAGTTATTGTAATGTTTTACTTAATATTTATCTTTGTTATTGTTTAATTTTGTGCTTTTTGATCCTTTAAATAGCAGGTTCAAGCAAACCCCCTCTCCAGGGATGTGAGTCCTGGTCTACACGTGAGGATTCCCGGGGTTGGATTCAGGTTCTGGAACCATTTCAGGTGTTCTGGCCTGCAGGCTGACGGACCACGACGGCGTGTCGTGTTGTACCTTCTTGTCCTGGAGGTCCGTAGAGAGCTCATAGCTGTCAGAAAGCGCCTTGCAGCGTTTGCTCTCCTCCTCCTCTTGCTTGCGGAGCGCCAGGCTGGCTGGCTGATGTCTGCTGCGCTGAGCCCAGGCGAGGCTCGCTGGGCTGGGGGGTGAGATGGGGGAGCTGCCCTGCAGCAGGAAACAAGCCAACAGTTTAGTCGTGTTTATTAAACGTTAGTCTGCTCTCAGAATGCTCAGGTGTTCGTTTGAAAACACATTCGAGAAGCAGCTGAGGGACCTTTCCAGATGCTTCAAAGTAATGATCAAAGATGTAAAGGAGGCAGAAACCAACACCACCTACTGCTGACTGCAGGGTGAGGACTGTGGGTCGGTACCTGTGTCTGTGGGCGAGAGCCTCCCAGGGGCCCACTGGTGGGGATGGGGCCGTAGGGGTCAACGGGGCTGGTGAGGGGACTGTTGCTATAGCGATGGAAGGGAGGCGGGTGGCCGAAGGATGAATCAGACAAGGCGATGGCCTCCGGACACTGAGGGTCTCCCTCCACACTGATGGAGAAGCAGAGAGAGGATGAGGAAGATGAAGGTTTCTGGTCAAACTGAAAAAAATCTAACTGAAAATAAAATATCAGCTGCAGCCAAACCCGACCAAACCGGTCCGAACGGTCCAGACTAAACGCCACCAGAACCAGACAGAATCAAAGGAAACTCCACGGATTCAGGTCAAAACATACAATTTGGATCAACGGCACCAAGTCAGAAAAATGGGTCCAAAGAATGAACCGAACTGAACCAGAACCCTGTAGAACCTGCCATCCAGAGAAGATCATACCCAGCTTAACCAGAACTACATGAAACAAAACCCCGTCTGGTTCTGTTTCATCTGGATCAGCCAATGGAAACCCCGCCCACAAACCTTAACCCCGCCCACGGAAACAGAAACTCGGCCCAAACAACAAAAAGGCCCGATTACAGTAGAATAGCAACTATTGACCACGATTACTCGCTGAGTCGGGTTTGTTGCATTTAAGTCTTTTCAGAATAAAACACACTGCAGCTCGTCAAAATAAGAGAACCAACCGACGCCATTTATTCACTTCAGCTGTTCTCCGTGATCTGGTAATGGTTTTAGATTTAGAAAACCTTCAGAAACACGAACTTGGACCAGCAGCAGGTTGTCTAACGTGTGTTTACAGACACGTTTTAACTGGAGAATAGCAGAAGTTGGTGTTTTTGAGGAGATGCAGACACGGGGTCGGGTCAGCAGGGGGCAGAGTTGAGCTGCTTAACAAAACAGAAAAGCTGCAAACAAAAGAGTCTGTTTGTGTTTTCATTCTTAACTTTTTAAAACACCAGAAGACTCAAGAGAGTTTGGCTTTGGGATGGGCAGGAAGTGTGCATCGATAGGATGGCACGGCAAAATAAAAGCATGCCAGCAGATATACGAGACTTTTACGTTGGTTTTGTGATTATAGAGAAAGTCTAAATTTGAAACACAAATTAAGTTAAAGACAGATTTCCATCACATCATTTGAAACTCCGCCCACAGCTCTAGTTGCTCCACCCTCCATAGACGGCACCGATACATGATCAATCTGTTTATTGATGAGTCGCAGACTTGCTGACTGAGTTTGAAGAGGAGGAGAAACCTGCGTGGCGGCCATCATCAGCGAGGCTCTTTAATGTTAATCTGAGACACCGTGAAGCTGGCAGGGATGCTAACGTGGGCACACACACACACACACACACACACACACACACACACACACACACACACACACACACACACACACACACACACACACACACACACACACACACACACACACACACACACAGTCACATGGGGGTGAGTCATGGCAACAGCAGTGTGTGTGTGTGTGTGTGTGAATGTGTGTGTATGTGTGTGTGGGGGTGTGCATGTGTGTTATGTATGTGACGAGCTCAGCATGAAATTGTGTGTGTGTTTCTAATACTATCTTTGAAGAGACCGCACTGAGTTCTGAACATTTTGTAAAGATGGGTCAGAACTTCTGACCCGGTACCACGGTCTCAGCATCAGCTCCTCGGATTTAAGTGAATCTTCCAAAATCTCACTCAGAGGTCAACGACCGCCACGGTGGTTCCAATTTGCCGAGTCCAGAATTGGTCCGTAATCATCATTATTATTATTATTATTGTTATTATTATTATGATTATTATTATTATTGTTATTATTATTATGATAATTATTATTATTATTATCATCATTATTATTAGTATTGTTATTATTATTATTATTATTATTATTATTATTATTATTATCGTTATTATTATTATTCATCCATTTTTATCCGCTTATCCAGAGTCGGGTCGCGGGGGCAGCAGCCTAAGGCGAGAGGCCCAGACTTCCCTCTCCCCAGCCACTTGGGCCAGCTCCTTCGGGGGAATCCCGAGGCGTTCCCTGGCCAGGTGAGAGACATAGTCCCTCCAGTGTGGCCTGGGTCTACCTTTAGGTCTCCTCCTAGTTGGACGTGCCCAGAAAACCTCACCAGGGAGGCATCCTGACCAGATGCCCGAGCCACCTCAACTGGCTCCTCTCAATGTGGAGGAGCAGCGGGTCTACTCCGAGCCCCTCCCGAATGACTGAGCTTCTCACCCTATCTTTAAAGGAGAGCCCAGACAGTCTTCAGAGAAAACTCATTTCGGCCGCTTGTATCCGTGATCTCGTTCTTTCGGTCACTATCCAAAGCTCATGACCATAGGTGAGGGCAGGAACGTAGATCGACCGGTAAATCGAGAGCTTCGCCTTCTGACTCAGCTCTCTCTTCACCACGACAGACCGGTACAACGCCCGCATCACTGCAGCACCAATCCGCCTATCGATCTCATGCTCCAGTTTTCCCTCACTCGTGAACAAGACCCCGAGATTCTTAAACTCCTCCACTTGGGGCAGGACCTCATCCCTGACCCGGAGAAGGTGTTCTACCCTTTTCTGAATCAAGACCATGGTCTCAGATTTAGAGCTGATTCTCATCCCAGCTGCTTCACACTCGGCTGCGAACCGCTCCAGTGAAAGCTGAAGATCACGTTCTGATGAAGCCAACAGGACCACATCATCTGCAAAAAGCAGAGACCTGATCCTCAGGCCACCAAAACGGATGCCCTCCACACCTTGGCTTCGCCGATTCTGTTCATAACTTTAATGAACAGAATCGGTGACAAAGGGCAGCCTTGGCGGAGTCCAACTCTCACTGGGAACAAGCCTGACTTACTGCCGGCTATGCGCACCAAGCTCTGACACCGGTCATACAGGGACCTAACAGCCCGTTTCATTGAAAGGGGGACTCACGTTTCCTCTTTGGGCGGTGCCCGGCCACCAGACATTCACCAACGTACCCCAACTCCAGAGGGGGGCTCTGGTGACCCGCGTCCGGGCGAGGGAACACTGTTTCCATTTGTCTTGTTCTTCAAAAGGTGTCGTTATTATCTTCATCATCATCATCATCATTATTATTATCATTGTTATTATTAATATATCATAATTATTTTAATAATAATCATTATTATTCTTAATATTATTTTTATTATTATTATTATTGCTATTATAAATAATATTATTTTCATTATTATTAATATTATTTTGTACCCAAGAAAGAACGAAGGCAGTAGACGTGTTGCACTGCTGTTAGCCAATCAGACAGCATATGCTTGCATATCATGAATATTAATGAGTAGCACTTATATCCCTGCCCCCCAAACCTCTTTTCTCTGAAACAGGAGCGCCAGAGCTTTTTTTCCACAAATGAGTCACATGATGATCGTTAAAGTAAAAATACCACGAAGCACGTCCAGCTTCAGTGTAACGCCCGTGAAACCTCGAGAAAGGCATTCTGGGTAGCGACACCTTGCAGCTTCACCTCCAGCACCTGAAGCTGAGCCAGATGCAGGGGAGGTGCGTTTGATTTATGCCCCCCCCCGCAGCCTCCTTTGGCAGAGCGCCTCTCATCGAGGTCACTTGGTAAACTTCAGGTGACCTCTGCATGAAAACTCCATCAGTGTTTCTGCTCCTTTAGAGGGTTGTGGACTTCATTCCAACTCTTCCTATAATAAATGCAGCATAAATAAATAAATAAATAAATAAATAAGTGATAATTATTTTACAGACACCGTACCACAAGCATCCTCGTGTTTGTGATTTAGCCCCGCCCCCTTGGGGCTCTGCAGCTCAGGTGGACGTCCCAACAGGAACATCATGCAGGTTAAAGCGGGTGTTCTGATGTCTTTCATCACATCCGTGTCTCTGCATCTGTTCATCCATCCGTTCCTCCCGCTCTTCCTTCTCCTCCTCCTCACTGGAGTCAGACTGGGATTCCAGCCTCATCTCACTGGGAGTCACTTCCTGTCCGTTGTGACCGTCACATTAAAACCCGGACTCCAGACGCCGTCTGCCTTTATTTTGACGCCTCTGAAGACAGACTTCTGGTTCCTGTTGACCGCTCGTCTGTCTTTAGTCGGCTGCCCGGTGTCCTGCAGACGTCCGTTTGAAGCTTTTCTGCTGCCGGTTCTGCCGGTTCTGGGCTTTTTGTCGGATCCGGTCACTTACTAATGGCCTAATGACTACCTGCAGCACAAAGGCAGCATACGTGTGGAACCAGGATGGGGTCCAGCCCAGCGGAGGGTTTTGTGCCGTCGCTGCGGCTGAATGAATTCCTGGGAATGTTGGAAACATTTTCAGCTCTGACCTCGTCCCCGCCCACAGGAGAACACCGCAGGGAGCCTGAAAGCTTGCAGGTGGAGGCGGTGCAGAAGAACAGCGGGTGGTCTGCTCTGACGGCTTAAGTACCGCCGCCGTTAGACGAGAAGTCTCTTATGAAATCTCATTTGCATTCAGAAATTCAAACGGTTGATTTAGTTGGCGATGTCCTTCAGGCTGCTGGAAGCTCTGACGAACCCAGAATATTATTCAGATCACCCAAACCGTTCAGAGTCAGAGGTTACTCGTGAGGAGGCGTGGACAGAGGGGTCAGCGGGGTTGAGAGGAGACGGCGAGGACGTCTACCGGATCAGCAGTTCTGCTCGGGTCCAGCTCTCTGACCCGCAGCAGCTCGAGCCGAGCCCGGCGGTCCGAAGGTTTTAATCACGACTCTTAAATGAAGCTAACAGTTTCATCAGAAGGTTTTAATCCTGGCGCACATGTCCCCTGTGGGCCTCCGTAGCCTCCAGCTATCAGACTCCAGACTTTATAAACTGGAGCGAGTCCGACGTGGGAACTTTGATTTATCAACCTCGGAACACACACACACACAAGCACACAAACACACACACACACACACACACGCGCGCACACACACACACACACACACACACACACACACACACACACACACACACACACACACACACACACACACACACACACACACGGTCATTGTGTGTGTGTCTTTCATAATTAATAATGTGTGTGTGTGTGATTAACGGCTGAGCCGGGTAACACATTAGTCTGTGATGCTTCATCAGTCTCCGCTGTGCACGTGAAACAAGGCACGTGCACGGCCGAGCTAGCGTCC